ACATACTGCGTGCACGTTATTTTTTGTATTGTATCACATAAATATTTATTTATATTTATAATACAATATTAATTTATTTTTTATTTCTTATAATTCGTGTATCAATAAATATACATTTTAAATTTGTATAAATTATTTTAATTTAACAAGAAATAACTATCTTAAGATCAGTAAAAGTATTTGCAAAAATAATAATATACATATACATACATATAATATACATATACATCTGAAGTGAACACTGAAAGTAATTATTTTTAATTTGGAATGTACGTTTCATTAAGTTTTTGGTCTGAAGCTTATATGTTTTGTAAAGCTCGGATAAATAGTGATTATCACATATCTATATAAATGTCAATTTGATTCCAAGTCCAAATAAGAACATTACACATTAAAATATGTATATTATGTATATCATACAAAATATGTATGTATATATGTACATATATAATACCTGATCCATTGCTCTGTGCGCATGATTTTCCTCGATGTTCTCATGATAAATTGGCACATTTTGAACAAGATCATTTTCATACATATTATCTTCATTGTCTACTCTCAAATTATCAAATGAGTTATCAATATTAAAATTGGAATTTTTATTACATTCGTCATCAACCATTTGATAATTTTCTTGAATATCTCCACTGCTATTATCTTCAGTGCTATCATTGTCCATTTGTACGTCGCCAAAGGAATCCTCATCACTCATTCCATAATTTTTTTCAATAATGTTTGATGGAGTTGCAGCGGTATGTGGCATATTTTTATTACCAGCTGTTTCACGTTCTATAAGCTGACAGTAATTTTTATCATTATTGGAATCAAGTTCTTTGTAGTTATGAAAGAAAAAAAATGATAAATATATTTTTAACATTTTTAAAATATATGTTTGTATATGCAAGAATATAATTTTCAATAATTGTAATAACCTAAAAGTAAATATGTATTTTGTAATTGTACATTATATATATATATATATATATATATACATATACACTTGATCCATGATTGCTCTGCGTGCATGATTTTCCTCCGTGATTTCATGATGAATGGACATATATTTTGAACACGATCATTTTCACACACATTATCTTCGATAATGTTTGATGAAGTGTAGTATATATATATATATATATATATATTTATACATATTTATATATATTATAAGTATAATATATTATAATTATAATCAAACACGCGCGTATTCACATATCAAAATGATATATATTATATACTAACCTCATTTTCAATAATATTAATGGAATCTTTTTCTTGGCGTTTTTTTTTTCGATATTTAGCAGTTGACGAAGGAATTTCATCAGAATCTGTCTCTTTTAAAAATTCTTTATACGGTCCTCGTTTCATTGTGAAAAATGAATTTCACTGGTATATTATAGTTAGTTGTTTTCCTTTTAGTAAACACTGCAGACACGACATAGAGTATGCACACCGCGCTTATTGAACTTAACCGTAAGCAATTTTAAAACTGCTGTTATTTCGCGGCCTTTTGCAACCAGCGTATGTCGTACGTGGACATGGGTCACATGGGCAATGTGGCTGTCAATAGTGTCAATCTATCCAGAGGACCTCTAACCTATCCTTTCCATTTGCAGTCTGGCTACAAAAAGGCGCGAAATAGTAGCTGTAAAGGTTAAGCAGTACGTGATTTCGGACAGGAACAAGAAAGTCCGCGCAAAGACGATCAAAAACGTGATACGTCTATATTATTCTGTGAAAACATCATATATGTGCGGGCGCGTGTGTGGGCACAGATTAAAAATTAGTGTTAAAAAAAGTGAGGATATAAAAAAGATAAATAGTGTGTCTCGTATATCAATTTGCTTAAGAAAATAAAGAAAAGAATTAATAGTTTATATGATGATGGATGACGAGACGATGATTGAGACGGCGGTTGACGACACAAAATGCGTCCTTGTTGAATTTGAAGACGAAACCGTGGCCGTAGGTTACCTCAACTGGTTAACCAGCCACAATAACGAAAACTACATTCAAGATGTTATTGAAAAACACCTGGATGTAGTCACTCGTTGGCCAAATTGTACAATTGGGCCGGCGAATAAAATGCGAAAAGCTCTGCAAAAGTGCAATGAGTGGTCGAAGCATATGGTCAAGATTGTTGCATACGGAGGTATATATATATATATTATTTCTTAGTTAAATGCTAGATTATTTTATCTTAAAAGAATAGATAACTTTTATGAAAATAAGAGAGGGACAGAGAGAGAGAGAGAGAGAGAGGAGTGATCTGTAATATATTATTGTTTATATACAGACTGGACCACTATGTGCAATCAACTCTCTACATATATAAAATGTGATGATCCTAATCCTGGGAAACATGAAAGAAAATTGTACGCAAAAAAGAAAATTAGCGAGAGTGAGGACGAGGAAGAAAATAAAACTAAAAAGACTTTTAAGAAGGTAATATATAATTTGCAACATTCAATCATATAAAAATTGCTGAATCTTGTCTCTGATCTGTTGTACATTCATTGTACTTGAGGAAAGAAATTACATTTATTTTACATTTTATTTTATAGCAAAAAAAGGAAACTGCAAAATTGAAGTCAGACGCAAAAAATACAATAGGCTACACCATCTTACAAAAATATAAAACCAAAAGCAATAAAGATGATAAAGTATATATTGTTCATTAGGATTCATTTATAATACTATTTATTGGCCATTATCTGAATTGTAATATAATTTAAATTAATATTATTTTACAGACTAAACAGATACAGTTTAATAACTCATCATCGAGTGACGATAGTATTGTCCAACTTCAAAAATCGCTGGATGTGCAAAAATTGTTAGCCGAAAAATCAAAACAATTAGAGGAAGTGAATAAGAAATTAATAGACATTGTTCATGTTTCAGAAGGTTTTTACATAATTATTGTTAATATATGTCTGACGCGTTTTTATTTTGTATATTTTATACTATACATGTAATATAATATTACAATCTGTAATACTAAATTCATGTATTTTTTTAGCCGTTAAACGTCTGGAAAAAAAAATTGACAAAATTGCAGACGCTATGACAACAATAGAGTCATATTTAAAATCTGGTGATAACATCAGTATTGTGGAAAAAAAAGTGGACAAAATTTCAGACGCTATGATAAAAATGGAATCATACTTAAAATCTGACAACAACAGTAATGTAAGAAATGGTGTGCAAGTAATATGATGTTGAAACATTTGTGGCATAATGTCATTGTTCATTTTCAGAAATTTACCGACAATGATATTGAGAATAGCATCATGGTTCTTTCAGTATCTGACGAAATGAAAACTAAACCATATGATAGCTTGGTACATTAATTTAAATAATAGAAATAATTGAATTCAAATGAGTTATTTCACCTATAATATATGATAATATATTTTTATATTTCAGTACATTTCAGAGGAAATAAAGGATGAATTTCAAAACAATAATACTCCCATTACACTTCATGTTGCTGCAGAGCTGGAAGAAATTTCTGAGGCTAATGGTGCAGCATCATCTAAAGTAGACGATGCCAAAGAAATAAATTCCAAAGAAATAATAGATGTTACAAAATCAAAGATTCCATCAACCACTTCAAAAATATGTAATAATGCAGTTGAATTGGTAATTATATTCAAAACACTAATAATTAAAAATATCAAATTATAATGTTAGTCAAATATTGTTTTTTATATCATATTTTTTATTTACAGAACGGGTGTTGTTATTTTGGCGATCGCCTAGTAACAAAAGTGCAATTAGCCAAACTCAACGATTCATCATTGTCAAAGCTGACGGGCGATCTACTTTCTATTGTATTCGATAAAAAGGAGCTCAAAGAGAGTAGCTTGACAGGCCAAAAGGCTAATGCGAACAAAAACAAAATTGCGACTAAAAAATTAGATCCAGACAGAGTGGCTGCCGTGGAAGGTAAAAGATAGTAAAAGCTATAATTAATAATTATAAAAGTAAAAGTTAGATAATAAAACTAGTTAATAATTATAAAAGTAATAGTTAATTAATTATAAAATAACATTATAATAGTTATAAAGCTAGTTAATAATTATAAAAGCTAATTAATAATTTTTATAAAAATTTGTAATTGAAACAATTTTACTTTATTATTACTTTTATAATGTATAATTGAAAATCTTACTTAATTACTGAAAATTTATCTTTGCGTATAATTTAATTTAATTTTAATTTTTCAAAAGTTCTTTACAACTAATCGAACTGTTATTAATAAAATATGTTTATGTTTTAGAGTACGTGTACAAAAAGTTTGGAAAAACGGACGATAACATTAAACTTTTCCGTGCGGCTGTACGAACAAAGTGCAACAATGCAAAAAAAGTCGCAAGTGCTAATAGCATTATAATATCAGCTACAGCGGATGAGTGATTTTTTAATAATCCTATATTATAATCCTATATAATTTTTACGTTATTTTATATATTTTATAACATGTTATAAAATATTTCAGTTGAATATAAAATATATAATAATTTGTATGGTATACATATATGCATATTTCTTTTTAAATCTATGAATATAATAATACAGGCCTTCAAACATGCACTGCAGTATCAGCAATACAGGCAGTAATGTATTTACAGGCTATAATATATT